TTCCACTGGAGGGGTCGTCGCGGTTCTGGCGGTATAATAGCTAAACAAGGAGGCATAATAACTGAATTTGAGAGCATATAACTAAATGGGGGTGGGTGTAGTAATTGAATGGGGGCAATAATTATAGGTCAGAGCGAAGTATTAGAATTAGGTTTATTGTCATTGTGTGGCTGAGGCGGAATAATAACTGATTGGTGGTTGGGATGGGGAGTGCGAGAGGAAGAAGACAGGGGATTTGGGGGAGAAATGGAATACCATAAAAACACTTGCTCCCAAGCGTGATAGATGCTCGCCAATGGGGATTGCAAAAAAAAAATAAAAGTTTGCTGGGCTGGACAAATGGGCGCTGCTTGTGACAGAAGAGGGCGAGCCCCTGTGCAGGTAGAGAGCATGTCCAGCAAGGCCACTCACATTTCCTCATGCACTTCATCCAGTGCTTGACGATGGAGCTGTAGTGTTTCTTGTTGTCCAGGATCCAGGACGACAGGCCCTGGATGCCGTCCATCGTGTTGGTGACCGTCAGCAGCTTCTTCTCCAGCGCAGCCTCCAGAGCGGCCAGGGAGGAAGACGAGCCGCTGGGGATGATGGTGGAGGTAGTGGTCGACGACGACGATGCTGATGAAGAAGCGGCCACGGCGGGCCCTCCCGCTCCCGCTGCTGCTGCGACAGCCGCCATCTTGCTCCCTCCTCTCTCTCTCTCTCGCCCTCTGTGCCCCGCCCCCACCGAAGCACGCGACGTGCACAGCGACGCAAGACGCGGGCACGCGCACGCACTGGCGACGCCAGAAGGGGAAGGGGGCGGCGGTGGGGAGGGGGCACGCGCACGTCGCTGCTTGTTGTTGGGGGGGTGGAGTGATGACGATGCACCAATTAGGCACGTGATCTCCCAGGCGACAGAGCGTGCGCGGCCTTCCGTCCGGCCCACGTGAACTCCCCTCCCCCACCACTAGCCGAGAGACGACGGTTACTTTCTCTCTCGATCGCTTCACTTTCTCTCCTCTCCTCACCTCCGCTTTGATTTGGACGGGAAGGAACTGGGGTTGTGGGGGAGGGGGAGAAAGGTAAAGTGCTGGAAAACACCCGCCCCACCAAGCTTCTCGTTCACACCACCGAAAAATGAAAAAAAATCTCCCCGATTGCAAACGGGGTTCTTCCTTTTCGTCCCCTGCACCCCTTATCCCGAAGGCGAAGGCGAAGGCGACGGGGGGGGGGCGGGGGTCCGAGACCGTTAAGTGGGCGGTCCGGCCCCGCCTCCACCCACAGGGCGCAGACGCGGACGTCGAGACCACGCCCGTTTCACCCAACTCTTCCTCAGGCCCCTCCCCCGACTCTAAGCCCTCTTCCATCAGACCCCGCCCACATTCCTCAAGCCGCGCCCGTTTGCCCTCAGGCTCCCCCCAGTTTTTTTCAGATCCGTTCCCCTTGTTGACTGCCCGCCCGCTAACATTCAGGTCCCGCCCATTTGCCGTAAGACCGCGCCCTCTATCCTCAGATTCCGCCCATTGCAGAGAACACGCCCCTTTCCCCAGACCCGCCTTTGTGCACAATCCCACAGAACACGCCCACTTTACAACAGACCCCGCCCCCCCACCGGCGGACTCCGCGCAATAACACTTCAGAGCACGCCCCCTTACCGCTAGGACACGCCTCCTTCTCAACAACTCCCAATCATTTCCCATCAAAACGCCGCCGCTTCAAAAGGCCCCGCCCCTTCCCCTTCAAAACACGCCCCCTTCTCAACAGACCTCCACACCTTTTCCTCAGAACACGCCCTCTTTCCCTCAGTCGAATCATTGACTCCCTGGTGAGGAAAAAGGCCATTCAGTCCATCAAGTCTGCATTGGCTCCAAAGAGCATCCCACCGTCCTATCCCTGTAACCCCCGATTTTATCATTATTCCTTTCCACTTGAAACACTGGGTGTTTTAACCATCCCAAAGTGGCAGTCGCAATGCAACAAGTGTGGCAGTTTTCAAACACCATTTTCCCAAAACATGGTTAATAACCAATTAATTGGCTGAAGTATTGGAATGAGCTTTTAACTATCATCCCAGGAGACCATGGAGAACTTTCTTGCTCTTCTTCAAAAAAAGGCAGTGCTCAAAACGATCAGCCAATCATCTGCATGATGAGACCCCACCACGGGGCAACTCAGAGTGCCAAACCCTCAGCGCTGACCCTCTACCAGTGCCCACTCCCTCAACACTGATGCTCTGACAATGCAGCACCAGCACAGCGCTGACTCTCCGGTAGTGCCCGCTCCCTCAGCGCTGACCTTCCGGCACTGCCTGCTCCTTCAGCGCTGACCCTCTGGCAGTGTGGCACCCCCACAGCACTGACCCTCCGACAGTGCAGCACACCCACAGCACTGGCCCTCCGACAGTGCAGCACACCCACAGCACTGACGGTACGGCAATGCTGACCCTACGGTAATGCTACACTCCGTCACAACCGATCCTCTAACAGTACAGCCCTCCACCAAGGTGGAACAGTTGTTCAACAGTCAGAACTGCCCCCTCATAGTACCAGGGACCCAGGTTTGATTCCAGCCTCAGGTGACTGCCTGTGTGGAGTTTGCACATTTTCCCATGTCTGCTGGGTTTCCACCAGGTGCTCCTGTTTCTTTTCCACAGTCGAAAGATGTGCAGATTAGGGTGGATTGGCTATGCTATATTATCCATGAGGGATGTGCATGTTAGGTGGATTAGCCATGGGAAATGCAGGGTTATAGGGTAGGGGGATGGATCGGGTGGGATGCTCTTCAGAGAGACAGTATGGACTCCATGGGTCAAATGGCCAGCTCCTACACTGTATGGATTCTATCAGGGCTCAAACAGTCCAGTACTCACTATTTTATTACTTATAACTGCCCAGTCAGCTTTGAGCCCACAAGCATCAAACTTGAATGATGGGGCTGCTACCAACTGACATGATGTGAACAAGATTTCAAGGCTAGGGGGCATATCTTTAACGTGAGGAGGAGGAGGAGGAGGAGGAGGAGGATTTGGAAAGACATGAGGGGCATATTTTTTTTTAACAAAGAGAATGGTTCATGTATGCAATGAACTTCCAGAGGAGGAGGTAGACACAGATACAGTTACAATGTTTAAGAAACTAAGTACATGAATAGGAAAGGTTTGGAGGGATATAGGCTAGAAGCAGGCAGGTGGGACTAGTTTAGTTTGGATTTATGGTCAGCATGGACTGGTTGGACTGAAGGGTCTGTTTCCGTACTGTACGACTCCATGACAAAAAAAGACACACTGGGGCATGGATGATGATCAGGTGGTACCTTTGGAATGCAATTCAGGGGAGCAGCAGCTGTTAGCTTGACAGTTGCCAGGGAAACACAGTTCTTAGTTGGCTCAAACTACCATCTAACAGAAGAAAGCATCGTTAAGTTGATCTGCATAATTTCCATGGGCACTGGTATTTGTTTTGTAGGTTAATTTGTTCTGGTCCACCCAGTCTACCGAATCTTACCACCCACTGCAACGTGATGTTGTCTTGCCTCACCCATGAATGCAGCAGCCACATGGTAACCTAGCTAGGCCCCAACTCTTGTGTAGCGTGAAGATCAAATTTGGGATCTTGCTGCTCGGTGGCGCAGGCCACCGTGGATGGGTTGTTGCCAAGTAAGGCCATCTGAAGGGGGTGAATGGGCTTGAGTTACAGGTCAGCCATGATCCAGTGCAACAGGATTGGGGGTGATGAGGCTCCTGGAACAAATGACCTCTTCGCTTTCCTACGCTAAGAGGACATAGACTCCACTGACAAGAGGCCACCCAGACAGAAGTGAAGCTGTTTGGGTGTATTGTAAAACAAGGATGAATGGTGACAGCATCATGGAAGCCAACCTCCAATCCATGGACTCCACTTACACTTCTCGTTGCCATGGAAAGGCAGCCCATATCATCAAACCCCTCCCACACCACTAATGCTCTCTTACAATATCTTCTGTCAGGCAGAAGATACAGAAGCTTCTTCCCTGTTGTTATAAGACTGCTGAATGGACATTTCTAATTTCAAATAATGTTGATCTTGCTAATGTTGATTTTTGTGCACCTCCTGTGAAGCTGTAACGTTGTATGCCTTGCTCTGTCTAAGCACCCTATGATTTGTATGTCCTTGTTTGCTATGATCGGCCTGTACTGCTCACAAAACAACACTTTTCAATGTAATGAGGTACATGTGACTACAATAAATCAAATCAAGAGGCAACTGTGCTACACTGCTGCCAAGGACACAAACTTCAGAACACTGCACGACACTTTAGAAAAAAATAATTAGTCTTTATTATGAAACTCCAAGCTGTAACCCTCTACAGCACTGAAATCGTATCTGAGCAGCTTCTCTTCTTTTTACAGGTTGTTGACACACTCTTTGAGGTTCTCACTTGAAAGGTAACAATCGGCTGTTAATGGGAGATTATTCAGGTCGAGCGCAGGACATAAGGGTACGACGAGAGGGTCACCTTGAGGTATGTCAAGGAATGCCAGCACTTGTCAGAGTGTCAAGTTCAGGACATGGCAGAACTGGGACAATTTCACACATTAGACATCACTCCCCAGAGTCAGCGTTGTATCATCTCAGAGCTGTTACAGCAGGGGGTTAGATAACGAGTAAAACTCCCTCTACACTGTCCCCCCCATCAATCACTCCTAGGACAGGGACAGCACAGGGTTAGCTTCAGAGTAAAGCTCTGCTACACAAAGAAACAATCTGTCTTAACCTCAGCATCAGAAACAGAACCACTGCAGCACAGAGAGAGCTCTCACAACGTCCTTGGGCTCTCAAGTACAAAGTGCAGTAAAAATCCTGACCACACAAGGCTGCGCTGTCCTCCAAATGAGGGGCAATCCAGACTTCAGACCAGAGAGATTCCAACCCACCTCTGTGTGGCAAAGTCAGGGTCACTCCACTGCAGTGACCATTCATCTGTTAACCAGAATACCTCATCACCAGCAGACAGGGCAAACAGAACAAGAACACATTAGGGCCAGAGAGAGAGAATAAGAAAGAGAGATGAGTCTCTGGGGGAAAAATAACACTGCATTCTCCGCAGAATTTTTGTCAGGAGTGTACATTTGCACAAACTGCAGGAACACCACAAGCAGAAGGTCCAGAATAAAATAACTCAAATGCACTCATCGCTGAACTCGAATAAAGTGGGGGACCCAGGGCTCAGTCCGAGTTTAAATAAAAAGGGAACTTTTCGATCGATGCTCAAAACTGAATTTGTCCTAAAGGTCTTCAGTGGGTGAAAGTGGCATGGATTTCAGAAACCTGTTTGACCAACCCCAAGAGAAGCACATGTCAGCTTTTTTTTTTGCGGAGGTGAGCAGGGAGTGAAAAATCACGATGTGGTAACTGCATGCACATGTCCGCCAAAGGTCGACAGCAACGCACGCACAGTCTGAGCAGCTCATCAACTCTCACTGTCCGTGTGCCACAAATGAAGGTTCTAGACCTGGGGAAGGTGGAGAAAACAAATGACCACACCGACACCACACACCATCCCCCCACCCCCCCACCCCTCCTCACCCCAATCTCTGCTCTCTCCAATCCTATTACATGTAACAAAAATGCACATCATCACATACTGGGATGGATAGGGTGAAGGAAGCAGCTGGTTCCTAACAGGGCGTGTGGCTCCAAAGAGACTAGAAGCTGTTCAGAAAACAATTCAGCTCAAAAGCATCAGAATTGTCAAAACGGACTGGAAAAGGGATTACAAGACCCCCCTCCCCACCGCCAACCCCCATCAACCCCTCTCTCATCATGCTGTGACTGGCCACTGTATCACATTTGCAACACTCAATACTTCTTTCCCCTGGCAGACTTATGCACCATTGACATTAGTTCAGAAAGGACTGCACATCTTTCCAGTCTCCTACATGCTCTAACGACACGATGGCTGTGCGGACAATGGGGTGCACAAGAGAATAGCGGTATCTATATCTGGAGGCAATATTGAATTCCTGCATTTTCGATTAGAGAGCCTTTGAACTCCTGGCTTCTTCCCAGCCCCAGAGGAAAGCCCGTCTCACGCCAAGACACCACCTCCTCTCTCCCTCCCAGGCCCAACACCCGTGAAAAATCCAAAACGGCCATAGACAGTCGGAAGACACGGAGCGGAGTGATGCCGCCTCAGTCCTCTGTAACCTCCAGCACCGATTCACTGATCGCCAGGTCCCAGTACTGTTCCACTCCGTGTTTTTTGAAATGCTCCCGTGCCATGCTCTCTGTTGGACACTGCTTGAATTTCATGTCACCAAAGCTCCTCTCTTTCGCCGTGCCCTGGTGGCAGAGAGAAGGAGAAGAGATAGTGTCACACACAAACATTTCAATCTGTCAGAACGAAGACCCGGCAGAGCAGCTGCTGAACCCCTGTCACTCCTCACGCGTGCCAACACCCACCAAAAATTGTGGCTAGTACTGAAAACGACAATCCACCACTGATGACTTGCACTGATGTAGCACCTTTGGTGCCAGCACCAAAGAGAAGCACGTCCAAAATTAAGTTGACACCGAGCCACTTGAGGGATGGCTGAGGAAACAAGTCAGGTTCTTGAAGGGTAAGAGCATGTGCGCAAGCAAGAGAGAGAGAGAGAGAGAGAAAAAGTGAGAGAGAGCAGCAGAGTAGAGGTTTAGGGAGCTGATTCCAGAGCTCAAGGCCTTAGGCAGCTGGGGTATGGGCTTGCAACAAAAATCAGGTGATGAGCAACGGTCCAGAATTGGATCTCCGAAAGGCCGCAGAGGCTGAAGACATAACAGCGAATACGCTACTCAATTAGATGTATTAATTAACAGCTTCACCAAAGACTGTGGAGAGGTGTGGCTGGACTACAACCAGAACAGGCAGCTGTTCCAGTTGGCCTCAGTGCCATCAGCCTGAGGGAGTAGGGTCAAACCTGGGGTTCCAGCAACTCCACTGACCATACAGGATCAGTTCCAGGTAGTAGTTAGGTAACCCCCGGCTCTGGTGTTAAAACGAAGGGGCTAAGCCATCAGGCCGGGCATCTGTGGGGTTACGGGGACGTTGGGGGGATAATTGACGAGACCGCTGCTTACCTCCCACACTAGTACACACTTGTTCACCTTCTTCACAACCTCATCATCCGATCCGTCGTCTTCTGTGTGGGCAGAAAGGCAGAAACTCACGATTACAAGCTCTGGCTTAACTCACTCCAAAAACGGTGAGCTGCACCCACCATTGTGGCCCTTTGACTACCTTCCCTTACGTACACTACTAAATAGCTGAAGCCGATGAGCTTCGGCATGAAAGCACACTGCACAGAAGGTTGCCATTCAGCCCATCGTGTTGGGTCTAGGAGGAGCTTTACCATTACTGTGCCCTCCTGCTCTCTCTGCATGCTGTAGCAAGTAGCCACTGGACATTTCGGTAGGTGTGTGCCCTGTTCGCTCAAACTCTGGCCCAGGGTCAGGTTCATACCAGGGGGAAGCATGCTCCTCGAATTTACCCCGCAGCTGGAAACAACACGAGGACTCACCATCATCCCGAGAAGTGGCCGTCTGCTCAGCCCACTTTATACGATGCAGCATCAAACGTTTGAATTTCTTCTGTGCTTTGGGACCTGAATGGAGAAGAGAGGAGAGCCTCGAAACGGGGATTCTCAGCTTTTAAACCACACCTTCTGCCCACGCTCACACTTCTGAAGGCATAGAGAGGGCAGCGTCACCATTGCCTGCCCTAATAGGGACATGACCCATGTACTGAGCAAATTACTCCCAATACCCTGACCCCAGGAAGTACTCTTTGAAAACAATAGATAGGCTCCCGCTACTCCTTTAATTATATTCATTGGAATTTAGAAGAATGAGGGGTGAATCTTAGATACATACAAAATTATGAGGGGAATAGATAGGACAGAAGCAGGGAGGATGTTTCCACTGGCAGGTGAAACTACAACAAGAGGGCACTGCCTTAAAATAAGGGAGAGCAGATTTAGGGCTGAATTGAGGAGGAATCTCTTCATCCAAAGGGTTGGGAATCTGTGGAATTCCCTACCCAGTGAAGTAGTTGAGGCTACCTCATTTAATGTTGTTAAAGCTAAGATAGGTAATTTTTTGAACAGTAAAGGAATTAAGGATTATGGTGAGCGAGTAGATAACTGGAATGGAAGCCACAAAAAGATCAGCCATGATCTTATTGAATGACAAGGCAGGATTGATGGGCCAGATGACCTACTCCTGGTTCTTATGTTCAATGTTTAAAACTAATGTAAAGCTCCTTCTACTCCTTTAAAACAAAAGTAATTCTCTCACTACATAGTCGCCACCAAACTCCCAGGACAGGGACAGTTTGTGATTCTAGTCTTTTAAACTGAAATCAAAGCTTCCTCTACACTGTCCCCCATCAAACACTCCCAGGACAGGGACAGCACGGGGGTTAGATACAGAGTAAAGCTCCCTCTGCACTGTCCCCCCATCAAACACTCCCAGGACAGGGACAGCACGGGGTTAGATACAGAGTAAAGCTCCCTCTACACTGTTCCCCCATCAAACACTCCCAGGACAGGGACAGCACGGGGCTTAGATACACAGTAAAGCTCCCTCCACACTGTCCCAATCAAAAAAAAATCTCAGAACACGTACATGGTGGCCTGAAGCCCAGGGCACCAACATAAACCCTGCCCAATTGTCCTCACCTCCCTCCACCACCACCACGTTAACGTCTTTGTGCAGGACCACAGTCCCTGTCAGGTATAGCTGCCCCGCATTTGTTTCCACTTTGAACTTCTTCGCCGAGTTGCTCAGGTTTCTGATTCTGAAATTGGCAGAGGATCATCTGTTAGGATAAGGCAATGGCCTAGTGGTATTATCGCTGGACAGTTAATCCAAAGACCCGGATAACATTCTGGGGACCTGGATTCGAATCCCGCCAGGGCAGATGGTGGAATTTGAATTCAATAAAACATCTGGAATTAAGGATTTAATGATGACCATGAATCTGTTGTCGATTGTCGGGAAAAACCCACCTGGTTCACTAATGTCCTTTAGGAAAGGAAACTGCCATCCTTACCTGGTCTGGCCTACATGTGACTCCAGACCCACAGCCAATGTGGTTGACTCTGAACTGCCCTCTGGGCAATTAGGGATGGGCAATAAATGCTGCCTAGCCAGTGAGATCCTGATCCCATTAACGAATAAAGAAAATAAAAATCCCACAGCAATTCCGTGGGGGGTGTGGGGCCCTACAGTTTAACATCAAATATACAGAGATCATCATACGGTGGCGCCGAGGGAGTGGCCGCTGTCAGAGGGTCGGCACCGAGGGACCGTCGCACTGCAGGTGTGTCTGTTCCCCGAGATGCCATTCTTTCAAAGGTGTTGGCTATAAGAGAAGACATTAAACCAAGGTTCTGATTCTCGAGTGAACTGAGAAAACCCTGTGGGCCCCATTGCGAATAACAGAACGGAGCAGTTGAGCCCCATTTCCTTGGGGCCGATACTATATGTGAACCAACATTTAGGTGGTCATAGTTCAAGCTCCTGTTTGTTCGACCTGATCGAGCAGGTTAGCTACCTTGCTTCCTATCACAATGTTCAAAAATATTTGCTGGTAGCGAATACACTAACACTAATTGTTGCCAGAGCTGATCAGATAGTGATATCCTAAAGCTCTTCGGCTCCCCCCAAGCACCACTGCCCCAATAACATGCGCACACACAATAAGACTTTTCAAGCTAAGAGTAACGGTGAACTAACTGGTGGCTGGCTGGAGATGCTGCCCTGAGACCGGCATCATGTCAGGCAGAATGACTGTAGCTTCCAGACACGACTGCCAGGGACAGGCAGACCTCGACTGAACTGTGTGGCTGTGGAGGGGAAGCAGCGGGTATGCAGGGCTGGAAAAGGGAGTGAGGGGGATTGGAATTCCCTGACGTATGAAAAGAACGCAGTGATCACCATTCAGCCCAGCTCCCATACCCTGCTAAACAGGGAGGATGTCTGCAAAGCGTCGCCCTCGACAGTCGAATAGACCATGGGCGGTGCATGCATTTACGATGGGCACCTCGGGCGAAGGAAGGAGGCGGTAAATCAGGTGGAGTAGGCAAAGAGGGTCAATTCAGAAGGCGAGGAAGGGATATTATCCTGCCAGAGTTGAGGAGCGAGCAGCCGAAATCTCACAGCCCAGACCCACCGGTAGACTGCGATGTGGACGCCCTGGGACACGTCTTCCTTCAGCTTCTTGACCTTCTTCTCTCTCCGCTGGTCAGCCGTCAGCTTTCGGGCGCTGTTGGCATCCTGATGAGCCCTGAAGTGAAACGTGCGGGTCACCCAAGGCCTGTGAAACTCCCGAGCCGCTCTCTCCCGCTGGTGTCCCTCACTGGTACTGCCCTCCCCAATCTCCGAGAAATCTGGCTCACTCTCCCCACAAGCCGTCCCCCACACCTCCAACCCCCTCAGCGCCCGTCAGTCACCGTCAGTCCTGTACTCCAAGCCCAATTCTGCCTCCCTCCCATGGTGGGATGCTGCTCCCAGGAGAAGGAAACATGAATTCAAAGACAAACTCCCTCTCAGACAATGGGTTGCTGAGTCCCACCAAGGCAATGGGCCCGCTGTTTCCCAATCTCTCTCCCCCACCACCACAAATCCCTGGCAACTCCATCACACGGACCAATCTGACACTGCCCTCTCCTACCCTGGCCAAATGTCCATCCTTGCACGACCCATGCATCCTCAGCCTCCGTGCCCCCTCCCCCAGGCCCTCACTTACTTGAGCCTCTTAGCCATCTGTGCCCTGACGTGAGCCTCCACCTTGGTTGGATCCTGCACAGCCTCTGTCCCAAGAACTCGCATCAGGTTGGAGATCCGCACTGTGGAGAGAAAAAGGAGGCCCAGGGTTAGGGGTGGGAGCAGGGGCCGATCGAGGGGGAAATTGGACAGTGCGAGGGTTCCGCTGCCTGCTCACCCTTGGGCTCGGGAGGAGGCATGAGCCCCAAGCGGATCTTCTCCTGCATCTCCTTCAGGCCCTCCCGTCGGGTCTGTCGTCGCAGCTTCTTCTGCTCCTTCTTGGTCAGGTAAACGCCAAGTGTCACCGGCTTGTCTGTGTCAACTGTGCAGACAAACAAGGGAGCAGACAGACAAGGAACATCAGTCAGCCACAGCCTGATCCCTGCGGTCTCTCCAGCAGCCAATTCGCTCTCTCTCACACTCTCACACGCGTGCGTAGAACATGGCGGAGACAACCCCCATGCCGGCCCACAGCAAAGGTGTTAGTTGGAGCCACGCACCGAGGGTGGACATTCGGTCCCTGACACGTGAAACACATACCCCTCTCTCCTCCACCCAGCCAGAGCTCAAGAGCTCAAGTGCCAGATTTCAGCACAACATTCAGACTCTCCACTGCCATCACTGACGGGGCGCCGTGCCGAGGGAGCGCCACACCATCAGCGGGTCCGCGCCAAGGGAGCACAGTGCCGGAGGGTCAGTGCCGAAGGGGCGCCGCGCCGGAGGGTCTGTGCCGAAGGGATTTATCATTTGGCCACCACATATTCTACATCATTGTAGTGTTTTGAATGTACTGCAGCAGCTGCGAAATATTTCAGTATCTGCCGAGGTCCTGAAAAATTGCCATTGAAATGTTGTTCTTTCCCTGTTGGACAGAACTAAAATGGACTGCGCAGGCTTACCCAGCAGCTTGAGGGGAGAGATGTAGGGAGTGGGGAGGAATGTGTAAAGCAGTGCAAGGAGTTAAAGCTGGACTGGCCTTCCCGCACACACCCCCTGCAGCATCAATGCTAATCCCCCTGAGGGGCTCATACCGGGAGGGCTGATTTGAGTTGGATGCTCCACCAGGTTCGTGATGCCGTGAAAATTCTGTTCGTTCTTCAGATTCTCTGGTGTCCTGAGCATGTGTTTAAATTCAAAACAGAGGCAGTGAGATGCAGAGAAACATCAAGATGGGAACAAATAAGGGTGCAATCCTGGTCGCTCTCCGGCTTTTGCACATAACTTATCAGTGCACGGAATCTGGGAAATGCGGACATGACTTGGCTGCCCTAACTACTTCCAGAGGCATAGGTGTGCATTATTGCCTCAGGACGCGGGCATGTTTGCGTAAGACCACCATTTGTTTCCCTGCCCCTAACTGCCCCTTGAGCAGCGTGCCCGGCTCAGGGCACTTCAGAGGGCCATTGAGAGTCAGCCCTGTCGCTGCGGGTTCTGGAGTCACAGCCCCGGTAAGGCTCGCAGATTTCGTTCCCCCCTCACCCCAAACCCTGTGGATTTTTAACAACAATCTATGACAGTTTTTGTGGTCACTGAGATTAGCTTTCAATTCCAGACTCTATTTGTTGAATTTAAATTCCACTCAGTCCCACGGTGGGATTTGAACCCAGAACATTCTGTCCAGAAATGTTACCGCAATGTCACCCCGGTCGCAGTCAAAGTTAACTCTGGGCTGGATGAGCGCGACAGGCAACAGAGATATCATTTGTGTTTAAATCAACCAGCTCAGACGTGTTACGACACACCTCTCGACCTGGTGGGATTTGAACCTGCGTGTTCTGTCCCAAAGGCAGGGCCACTACCACTGCACCACAAGAGCACTTCATGGACTTATAGAACCCCTACAGTGTGGAAGCAGGCCATTTGGTCCATCAAGTCCACACCGACCCTCTGAAGGTCACTGCACCCAGACCTGCCCCCTTAGCCTATCCCTGTAACCCTGCAATCCCCATGGCCAATCCGCCCTAACCTGCACATCCCTGGACACTACGGGACAATTTAGCACGGCCAATCCACCCTAACCCGCACATCCCTGGGCACTATGGGGCAATTTAGCACTGCCAATCCACCCTAACTTGCACATCCCTGGACACTACGGGGTAACTTAGCATGGCCAATTCCACCCTGCCCTGCACATCTTTGGACTGTGGGAGGGGACCGGAGCACCCAGAGGAAACCCACGCAGACGCAGGGAGAATGTGCGAACTCAACACAGTTGCCAGAAGCTGGAATCGAACCCAGGTCCCTGGCACGGTGAGGCAGCAATGCTAACTACTGAGCTACTGTGCAAAAAGTTCAGCAAACCAGGCAACCAACCAGATTTCATTAAGTTTCGTGGGGTTTAAGCCTCACAAACAGATAGACCAAGGACACGGGTTGGAGTTCCATTCCACAACATGCATATGTGAGACGCTCTCGCCCTCCCTTAGCTGGCTCGAATCTATCAGACCTCGGGGAAGGGAGGGCTGCGACTTCAACCTCACTCCCCAGCCCACGTCCAGGAAACTCACAGCTCAATCCCACTTTGAATGATGTAGGAATCCCACCACTCGATTTCCGGCACCTCGCCCTCCCTCAGCTCCTTCTTGGGGGCAATCAGTGCCAACTTGGTCGAGGTCTGGATGCCCGTCTTCTTGGCCGCCTGTGCAATTTCGGTCTGCAATTTCTCCAGCTGTGCCTGAACACAGAATGGGGGAGGGAGGTGATAACCGCGTTAAAGATACAGCACCAGCAACGTCACACCCCCAACACCTTCCTACATCATTGCCCGCTTCCTTCATCCAATTCTGGGATGCAAGGACTGCATCTCTTTCCCCTGCCATCCGTACTTGCTCCTGTCATCCACAGGGGTAGTCCTACAGGGGGAGTGACTTTAATGTGAGCCTGGTGGGGTTTTCAGACACCTTTAACACATCCCTTCACTGATTCAGTTTCCAAACTTTTCAACGAACAGGATTTCTGAAATGCCTGGCTGTACGGCTCGGACTTCTTGCCGGATTATTAAATCAGTGATATGTAATCACTGCTCTGCCTACCCTATAAAAGATGCAGGGACTTCCTTATCAAGCAGAAAAGGCCATGGGTAGAGGGAGGTGTGGCGAAGGATGAAAATGGGGCTCTGTTTCCCCTTCACCGGGGTCACTGGAGTTTTACAAACCGCCAAAGGTTCGCAAGGGAGGCCCGTGAAACAGCAAATCAATCAGCTTACGAAAAGCGGTGTGGAGGGGTGAGGGGAGCTATCCAAATGGTCACAGCTTTCAGCTCACTGTGGGAAACTGACACTATAAGGACAGCATTTCATTCTGCTCTTTATCCCTACCCTCAAATCATTATACTCTGTCACTAGTCCCTTTAAAATATAACACTGCCCCCCTCCCCCATCAGATTTCTCTTTCCCAAGGTGGGGCTTGAGGGGAAGGGGAGCCTCCTCCCAGCCCTACCACAGCTCGCTTGTCCCAGGCCGGCCGCCGCTACCTTGGTGCGTATCCTCTGGGCTATTTTCTCAAACTTGCCCCTCTCGTGGAAGCGGAAGATCCTCTTCTGGCGCTGGGAGGGCAGCACGGGCACACGGGGGTCGTAGAAGGTGTTGCTCTCCAGGTCGTCGCTGGGCTTCTCCCTCAGCAGCAGCTGCTTGAACTGTTCCCGCTTCACCGCCCGGATGTTGGCTTTCAGGGTGGGCATCCTGTGGGTCAGCTCCACCTCCTTCCCAGTGGCGTCCACCGTCCGGCCCTGGTCATCCAGGATCAGCGGCGTCGGCTTCAGGTGCTCCTTTAACTCCACTTTGCTGCCAATGGAAACAGGAGGTCAGTCTGAACCAAAACACATATTAACACCTCAGGTTCCAGCGGGCCCACCATCTGGGGAGGGGGCGTGACCATAGTTATGCCAACTATTTTTGGGAGGGGGGGCAGACAATCGGACTGGGTGCTGGTAATCAAATCATCGATTTGGGATGACATGTCGCAGATGGCATTTGTACCAGGCAATTACCCTCTTCAATATGAAGGAATCTTACCACCTCCCCATCTTCCCTTGGCGATCAATGGCGTTACCATCACTGAATCCCCGACTATCAATGCACATATGGTCACCATCTCCAACAAGACAGAATCTAACCATCTCCCCTTGACACTCAATGCATTACCATTACTGAATACTCTGTTTGAAATGCCATTGTTAGATTAATGCTAATGTTACATTCTCTCTCAATGGTAACCCCCTCGATGTTGATTGTGGGGGATTCAACAATATCAACATCCAGAGGGAATGTAACCATCTCCCTTTGACATTCCATAGTGTTACTGTCACTGAATTCCCACTATTTACATCCTAGGGTTTACCATCTCACAAGAGATGATCTAACTATCAGTCCTTGAAGCTCAAAAGCATTACCAACACTGAACCCCACCCCGACTATCAACATCCTGGGAGTTACCATTGACCAGTAACTGAACTGGAACAACCATATAAATAGTGTCCACAAGAGCAGGTCAGAGGCTGGGAATCTTGCAGCCAGTAACTCACCTCCTGACTCTCTTCCAAAGCCTGTCCCACCATCGACAAGGCACAAGTCAGGAGTGTGATGGAACACTCCCCACTTGCCTCAATGAATGTAGCTCCATCGACACTCGAGAAGCTTAACACCATCGTGGACGAAGCAGCCCACTTGATTGACACCACACCCACAAGCATCCACTCCCTCCTCCATCGATGCTTAGTAGCAGCAGTGTGTAACATTTACAAGATGCACTGCAGCTACTCACCAAGGCTCCTTTCACAGTACCCTCCAAACCCACAATCATGACCATCCAGAAGGAAACGGACAGTGGATGCATGGTAACGCCACCCCCTGCCAGTCCCCCTCTGAGCCACTCACTCACTATCCTGACTTGGAAATATATCATCATTCCTTCAGCCACTGAGTCAAAATCCTGCAATTCCCTCCGTAAAGGTATTGAGAGTCTACCACAATGCTTCAACAAGGCAGTTCACCTCCACCTTCTCAAGGGCAACTACAGACAGGCAATAAATGCTGGCCCAGCCAGCAAACACCAATCCTATGAATAAATATATATTTTTAAAAAATACCAAATAAGGATCAGCCTCAGCTGGCTAAATAGTGTGCTTGTCAGCAAGCTAGAATTCATTTGTGGAGGGGCAGTACTGATAAACAGAGAAATTATATAAAGCTTACGGAACCTCGGAGAGACCAGACAGGCAGAGCAACTGGGCACTGGTCAAGTTTACACATGATGCAAGGACACGAGGGTACAATAGGAGAATTTAATAGGTTGGAAACAGATCTGAGAGGTTATATCAAGTTTTGAGAAGCTTCAAGGCGAGGGATTGACAGATTTCCGGTTACCAGTCACCTCAAGAGATAAGGGGGTTGCATGGGTAACTGGCATCAAAGTAGATCATCAGCCATGATCAAGAATGGTGAAGCAAACTCAAGGGGGTTGACCAGCCTTCTCCTGTTCCTATTATTCCTAGACAGGATGAACAAGCTGGAGTTTCCAACACCAGAAAGGTGAACTTTAAGGTTCTGAAAAGGGTTTGAAATGACAGATAGACTTTTATGGGAATAAGGATCCATCAGTACAAGAGAAATCACTAATAAATCCAATCAGGAGAAACGTCTTCACTCCAGGAGCAGGAAGAACATGAGACTCACTCTCACAGAGGGGCTCACTCCTCTGGGAAGTGAGGCAGACTTGCTCCCGCAGGGGGTTGGGCGGAGACCCACTCAAATGTGGAAATACCTCGCGCACAGAGGAAAAAATACAGTGTAAAGGAATGACCACAACTACAGGACTGTTAACACATTACAGTTACTAATAAACTACAATCCAGGAGAAATGTCCGCATCCAGAGAAGGGGAGAATGTGGAATTAACTACCACAGGGTATGGTCGAGATAAATAGCAGGACTGGGGTAACAGGAGGGAGTAAAGCATTCCTTAACTAAGTGTTACAGAAGATGTACCTACGCACCCTCCTAACTCAGTCAATGTTGCCGGGACCACTCGTTTTCTCCCCGTGGGCAGTAAGCTGTGACTCAGATACTCACGGGGGGGCAATGCCCATGGCATGCAGATTGGCGAGGCCCACCAGGTTGGTGCTCTGGAGCAGCCCTGGCTTCAAGGAGAGCTGGGTTTGGATCCGGGCCTGCAGTTCGGCCGCCTTCTTGGCCTTCTCAATGGCGTCGTTCATGAAGGAGGCTGCCTGCGATGGCTGGATGGTCTGGCCCATCGGAGGCAGGTCAGCATTGGGAGCCAGGGCCGAAACCCGCTGCAGGGGAACAACGTCACGTCAGGCGACAGAGAACAACAAACAAGACAGACAGCAAGAACTGCCGATGCTCCATTTCTAGAGGACCTCTCACAACCTGTGCATGCCCCAAAACTGTTTGCAACCCTTGATGTCCGGCTGCGGCCACTCACGACTACAGCCTGCTTGACGGACACCCCGTCCACAATTCGTTTAGTCCCTCCACCACCAACGCACAGTAGCAGCAGTGCGTACCATCTACAAGATGCACTGTTGCCACTCACCGAGGATCTTTAGATAGCATGGCCACTACCAGCTAGAAGGACAAGGACAGCAGATCTATGAGACTGTAAGCTCCCCTCCAATCCACTCACCACGCTGCCTTGGAAACACATGGCTGTTCCTTCACCGTCACTGGGACAAAATCCAGGAACTCACTCCCTAACATCACCACGGACTGCAGCGGTTCAAGAAGGCAGCTCACCATCGCCTTCTCAAGGGCTAACTAGCGACAACAATAAACGCTGACCCAGCTAGTGACAGCCACCCTCCCACGACCAAACTGAACTGCAACAGGCAACGTGCACAGCGTAAGATGCCAGAAACGCGACACCATGACCCATCACCTCACCTTGCACTGATGTAATGTCAGCCATGGAAGGAATGACCCTCCGTGATCCCTCCAACTTTGCCTCTTACACAACCCCTTCCCAGTGTGAGCACTGAGTCCGAAGATAGAAATCCCTTGTTAGCTCCCGGGACATTCCTTCCAACTGGGCAGGGGTGATAACTGGAACAGTCCCATACCCTACTCCCTCTCCCAGTCGGAGATGCGCTGAAGCGCAGCAATGATCAGGCACAGTGGGATTTCCCTACACAGCACAGGCCCACCATCACAGCTCCTGCGGTGACAGTACTCACACTCACAGTCACCCTGTAACATTTCACCATTACCTGCTGGAACGAAGGTGTGATTAGACTCAGCTGCCGTTTCCGTTCTTCAATTTGTTTGGTCGCCGCTTCCATCATCTGTTTGATCTGTAAGGCGCAGTAAAAAAAGGGAAAAAACAGATTAACAGCAAAACAACATTAGAATCAACAACCAAGCTTCCTCAATGCTTTTAAGCTGAAGGTAAAGCTTCATCAACTCTGTCTCCATCAGACACTCCCAGGACAGGGACAGCACGGGGTTAGATACAGAGTAAAGATCCCTCTACACTGTCACCCATCAGACACTCCCAGGACAGGGATAGCATGGGGTTAGATACAGAGTAAAGCTGCCTCTACACTGACTCCACCCCCACCCCCTCCCAAACACTCCCAGGACAGGGGCAGGCCAATAATTCAGCCATCATTAGATGTTGAGGTTGAGGGGTGACCTTGTAGCAGTTTATAAAACAATGAGGGGTATGAAAACAGTTAATGGTAGTTGTCTTTTCCCTAGGATGGGGGATTTCAACACCAGGGGGCACATTTTTAAAGTGAGGGAAGAGACATTTTAAAAAAAAAGACATTAGGGGCAACATTTTTGTTTACACGGAGGGTGGTTTGCATATGGAATAACTTCCTGAGGAAGCGGTGGATGCGGGTACAGTTAGAACATTTAAAAGACATTTGGATAAGTACATGAGTAGGAAAGGTTTGGAGGGACACGGGCCAGGCAGGTGGGACTAGTTTAGTTTGGGATTATGGGCAGCACGGACTAGTTGGTCCGAAGGGTCTGTTTCCATGCTGTAGGAGTCTATGATTCTATGTTGCTACAGTTATGCTCAAAGATGCTGTCTTCTTGCAGTTCATCGACAGTTTGCTGCAGTGTGCAGTTTAAATACTGAATGTTTCATTGTATGTTGTAATAATGCACACGTGACAATAAATAAAATCAAATCAAATAGACCCTGTAGACTGGGCGCTGCAGTGTCCTAGTTAAATAGAATCTGTATATTGCGGCTAATAGTGTGCTATTTAAGTAGATACAACTTGCTGTAAAATACACTGCTTGTTGAATCCTGGTGTAAATCCAACCTTGCCTTTCTCACTCTTTGAGCAGCCCCATGGTATCTGTAGATGTCATGGAGAAATCAGACTGACCTGAATCTTTGTTAGCATTCCTGGACTCTCTGTGGGTGGTCCAGGGATAATGTCATTCTCCTCAACCTCTTCAAACCTCAGGATCCGTCTCCTCTTGGATGACAATTCCCGAGTGACCTCCGAATCCTCACCAAAGACCTCCTGCCAGCAAAAAAAAGGGAAAACGATGAGGTACCCATCCAGGTTAATTATGTCTGTAGGCAAAGGCTTGCATTAACATAGCACCTTTAACACACCAGCACGTTACATAGGGTATAAATTGGATCAAATTTAACCACAAGACACACAAGAAGATATGAGGTGACCAAAATTGTGATTAGAGTGTCTTAAAAGTGGAGAGACAGGCAGAGAGGTATTGGGAGAGAATTCCAGGCTCAGGTACCATAGGCAGTGAGGATGTGGTCATTGGTCATAGAGCAATTACAATCAGACTGGGGAGAATGTGCAGGAGGCTAGAACTGTAGAAGTGCAGAGACCATGAAGGGTTGTAGAAGCTGGAGAAGGGTAAGAGAAACGGAGGTTCCTAAGGACTGAAGGAGATTCAACACAGGCAGCGGTATAGGGGCTGAAGGGGGTTAGAGAAATATGGTAATGAACATGAGCTGGAGGGGGTGGCCAGGATGGGGAGGGGCATCGGGGCTGGTGAGGGGAGGGGGTGGCCGCAGAGGGAGGGGGCAACTGCTGCGAAGGAAGGGGGGTGCAAGGGAAGGAGGGGGCGACAGAGATAGGTAGGGGGGTCTAGGAGCTGGAGGATAGAAAAAGACAAGGGATTTCTAAATGAGAATTTTCAAATCAAGATGGTGGCAGCCTCGAGAAATATTAATTTGTACTCTTGGAGAGAGAGCTGACAATCAATACCCAAACATTTGCACTTCCTCTAACACCTCAGTCAAGATAGACAGGCTGTTGAGGTTCCAACTGAGTAAGTGAGAAAGTGTTTCCTTGGGCAGGAGGTCTGTCACCAGAGGGATATAACTTAAAGAGAATATTCAAAGGAACCAGAGTGGGAAAGGAGGAGAGTTCCTTTGACACAGCGAGCTGTTCCGATCTGGAAAACACTGCCTGAAGATTTAACAGGAACGGCCGCAGAGTTGTGGAAAGTAAGGGGCTGTTAGGGAATGGGGAGGTGGATGTGAACGGGACCTAATTGCGATCTCTCTCACTCAATGAGCTGGCACAGGCACGATGGGCTGAATGGTCAGCGATGATGGATTTAATAAGACTTTGAGTCTCAGAGAGAGGGGCCGGCAGAATTTGGAAAACCAGTGAGTTCAGTCATAAAACAGAGAAGAGAAAAAGCACAATCCCACTCCCCCCACTGTCGGTACCACAGTCAGCATCTCAACCAAGTGAGGTAGCATACAGAGTTGGCCGGGCATAGTAAATGGGCAATGTCTACGCCCCACACCAAATGCTCAGTGCCAACCTTTAGCTCCCTTTTCCTGTGTTTCTCGCCACCAGATTTGGAGTGCCGGGTGTTGCGACCTTCCTCCACCGCCTCGAACAGCTTGTCCACGAACCGCACCGTTGAATCATCCAGGAATGGTTTCAGGTGCTCTGCAGAGGAGAGAGGGGAGACACAAGGGAGGTGGGGGCACAGAGTGCATGGAGAAAGAGAGAGAGAGAGCACACGAACACAGGGAGGGAAGGAAACAGAGATACAGTGTGCACGCACGGGGAGAGAGAACATGGTGAGAGAGAGAAACGGAGAGAGAACACATAGCATGAGAAACAGCCAGAGCGCAAACGAGCACAGACAGACAGAGAGAGAAAGAATGGTGACACAGTCAAAGAGAGCACAGGGAAAGAGAGAGAGTGCACAGGGAGAGACAGTGAGCACGCACGGGGAAAGCCAGAGATGGTAGTTGCGCACAGGGTAAGACAGAGAGAGAGACAGCAAGCATAGTGAGACAGAGAGAGAAACAGCACAGGCAGTGAGCGAGCAAGAGGATGGTGAGAGAGAGTCAAAGAGAGCGTGGCAGTAGGGGGGCAGAGACAGAGGAGGGGGGAGAGAGAGACAGCATGGTGAGAGAGAAAGAGAGCACAGCATTGGGGACAGAGAGATAGCGAGCACAGGGAGAAAGAGCGAGCAGGGCAAGGGACAGAGCGAGCACGGTGGGGGTGGGGAGAAGAGACAGAGGCAGTGGGGGGAGAAAGAGAGAAAAGGGGGCAAAGAGATAGTGAGAGTGAGCATGGGGAGAGGGACAGAGATAGACCAAGAGAGCATGGAGAGAGGTGAGATAAAGAGAGAAAGAATGGAGAGACAGGACAGAAGTTAGACACGTACAGCATCACTTTCTGTTCACTGTCTTTTGCCCACCTCACAGAAGAATCACAGAATTGTTATGGAGGAGGCCATTCAGCCCAACATGCCTGCACCACCTCTTCATACGAGCATCAGCCCCCCCACCGCCGCTGCCAATCTCCTGTAGCAACACCCAGAGGTCGTTTACTGGGTCAGTTAGCTATACAGCTACTTTACTACAGTGACATCAACAGCACGGGTTCAATTCCCACATCAGCCCAGGTTTCCACAAAAGTTCCATCTTCTCAACTTCCTCCAAGGCATGGGGATCGTAAGGTTAAACCCACCACCCTCTCTTTTTCTCTCTCGAATGAGACAGCAGCCCCCGGTCTGCGGGCACTACAGCAACTTTACTTGGTTTTAGCATTGGACCATCTGCCCGCTGGCTAAAGAAACTCAGGCCAGGTTAAGGGTGGTACCTGTGACCATATCACGCAGGGACAATATCAACGCCCTGCGGCCCATCGTCTGTATCTGTTAAAAGGCCACCTTGGCTGAGCCCATAAGCAGAACCACAAGAAGGTCCTCCAACCTGCATACTCCCCACTGAATTATAGAATGATCGAATCCCTACAGACTGAAAGCAGGCCATTCGGCCCTTCAAGTCCACAGCGAGCCTCAGAACAGTATACCACCCAGACCCCATCCCAGTGACCCTGCATTCCCTATGGCCAATCCACTCTAACTTGCACATTCCTGGGAACTACGGGACAATTTAGCACGGCCAATCCACCCTAACCTGTATATCCCTGGGCACTACGGGATAATTTACCACGGCCAACCCACCCTAACTTGCACATCCCTGAACACTATGGAACAATTTACCATGGCCAATCCACCCCAACCTGCACAACTTTGGACTATGGGAGGAAACCGGAGCACCCACACAGACACAGGGAGAATGTGCAAACTCCAGAGGCTGGAATCGAACCTGGGTCCCTGGCGCTGTGAGGCAGCCATGTGAACTACAGAGCCAGTGTGCTGCCACCCTCCCCCCTCCTCCACAACTGGATGTCCAAAGATCAAGAGTGTGCAACCAGGCATTAAGCAGCAGCCCTATCAAAAACTACAAGTTGCAATCTTGTGTAGAGAAAGAAAACTTTAGATATTTTCTAATTGGCCTATTCAGCAATGTTATTAGACATCCGTGCAGCAGGTGGGATTTGAACCTGGGCCTCTTGGCTCCGAGGTAGGGACACTACCACTGCACCACAGTGTCTCTTTATGTGCAGTCAAGGATATCATCAATCAATATATTCCACCTGCTAATGTCTACCCTTAGCAATCCAACTAAAACATGAACCAGTCTCCAAGTTTAGAAAGGGCATTGCCAACTTACCCACTGTTTTCTTTTTGTCCATTCCTTTGCCCACACAGTTGAGTGCGGCCGTGACTACAGTCTGCTCTGAGAAGCCCAATACCTTCTTCACCGTCTTCTCCACCCATGGTTTCAGTTCGTCCAGATCACGCTTGGACAGCGACATCTCTGCTGAACTGGGCGGAGGGAAAGATAAAGAGAGAAACACAGCATCAGGACAACAAATTCAATCATTACTGCAACCTCCAAATCTGAAAAGGACGACTCTCACTCATGCCCTCAGAGAGTTTAAACCTCACCCCGGAGACCTGAGCAACCATAATCCAGGATGTTCGTGCTACTGCAGTATGGAGGGAGTGCTACATTGTCACAGGCTCACGTACATTCCCATTTTAATCATTCTGTGATACTTCCACAAGGTCACCAAATTTGCTTCAAATAATAATATTTCACAGTCTCTCGTCCACGTAAAACAAACAGCATCTTTTCCCACCACACAGTCGCCCACTTACTCTCTTCAGGCTTACTGTGATGGCCCCTTAGCTTAATTTACTGCTTATCTTCATACAGAGTCGGAGAGTCTGAGTTGTACAGTACAGAAACAGACCCTTCGGTGCCACTTGTCTGTGTTGAAAACATATCTTAAATTAATCTAGTCCCATTTGCCAGCATTTGACCCATATCCCTCTAACCGTTCCTGAAATGTACTCATCCAGATGACTTTTAAATGTTGTAATTGTACCAACTTCCACCACTTCCTCTGACAGCTCGTTCCATACACGCACCACCCTCTGTGAAAAAGTTGCCCTCATGTCCCTTTTAAATCTTTCCCCTCTCACCTTAAACCTATGCCCTCTAGTTTTGGACTCCCCTGCCCTGGGGAAAAGACCTTGGCTATTCACCCTATCCATGCCCCTCATCATTTTATAAACCTCTATAAAGGTTTCTGAACCCTTTCAAATTTCACAACATCCTTCCTACAGCAGGGAGACCAGAATTACACGCAGTATTCCAAAAAGTGGCCTAACTATTGTCCTGTACAGCCACAACATGACCTCCCAACTTCTATACTCAATGCATTGACCAATAAAGGCAAGCGTACCAAATGCATTCTTCACTATCCTGTCTACCTGCAATTCCACTTTCAATGAACTATGAACCTGCACCCCAAGGACTCCTTGTTCACCAAGACTCCCCAGGACCTTACCATTAAGTGTATACATCCTGCCCCGAGTTGCCTTTCCAAAACACAGCACCTCACATTTATCTAAATTAAACTCCATCTGCCGCCCACTGGCCCATCTGATTAAGGTCCCGTTGTACTCTGAGATAACCTTCTTGGTTATCCACTATACCTCCAATTTTGAACTGAAATATATCACACTCAGGCACCTGTCATTAACACTGACTGCAAATGATTCAAATGGCAGCGTTACCAACTTGAAGCTCAGCCTTTCCAAACCGACTGTGTTTTCTGTCTCTTATTCAATCCTCTATCTGCTTGTCCCTTAGTCAGTGCTA